CTTTTAAACCAGACCAAACAATTGCCGCTGGATTAAAATCATTTGAATGTTCATTGAGGTTATTAATTATCAAATTATCATCATTATCACTAAATAAGTCTAACTCATCATCATCATCATATCCAGACATAGAACGATCGATTCGTTGTGCTTTTGCAAGCATGGAATCATGTTTTGCACTTTTTCTTAGTTCATGGTCTAAAGTTGATTCTTCTGCACAACGATGCAATAGTTCAATATTGTCAATAATAAATTTTAAACGTGGAGAAAACAAAGAGCTACAGAGAAAAGCTTGACAAGCTTCGGTCCATGTATTATAGTTTTTCCAAAGATCATGAACCGTTTCCCATGGTTTAAAAAGTAGAAGAACACACATTCCATAACGCTCCTTATTTTTATAATCATCTTTTTTTGGAATCCTTTTACCATATAAAGTGACAACTCTTTCTGTTTCACGTTTTCGGTGTATCTGAATATGAGTCTTACTCTGTGGATGTATATTATTATGTAAAGGTATTTGGTCGTTATCAAATTCTTTTCCACGAAATAAAAATCTGTCAACCCATGCATTTCCTTCTCTTGAATGTTAAACTGCTAACATAGAAAGTTCATGTGAACTTATTGGAACCTTTTTAACAGTAGCAGCATAATCATAAAGACAGATATGACGTAATGCTTCATTTCGAAATTGATAATCAACTCGAAGGTTCGCAACCGTTAATTTGCAATCAAAAGAAGATATTAGAAAAGATTCTTTTTGACTATCATATTCATAATTTTCATTCGACTCATGATCAGATATATCATCATCATTTTCAATTATACATTGTTCATATGTTTCCCACTCTCGAGTAAGATAATACTCAAATGATTGGAGATAAATAGAAGCGAATTTGCATGGTGTATAGTGATCACTAATACCTAAAAGATATGCCGAAACTTGTGGACCTGTAAGCTCTGCTTGACCTCCTATTCTATTCAAGCATTTTGTTACGAGTTTACAGGATTTTTCTATATGAGTAAGAAAATTATTATCAGATTTTAAAAATTTTTCTAAAGTAATGGCACACATTAAAAAAGAGTTATGCGTATTAATATCTGTTTTAGTAATATAATTTGTAATATAATAGATATAAGCTAACGCAAGTTTTCGTGCCGAAATAAATTTAACATCATTATTTCCTCTACATACGGATGTTATGAACGGGTTGTGGTTATTAATATAGGCATTAACGCGTTGGATAGCTACTATTCCTTGTTCAGGAAAAACTAATCTGGGAGGATCTATTAACTTCCTTGGAAAATCGAATCTATACTCCTTATTTAACCCTTGATTGTATTTTTTGCATGTTTTAGTACAATGATGAAAAAGCGTACGCTTAACAATTGCAAGTAAGTCTAACCGAAAATTTTCTTCAAAATTAGCTGCTCTTGGATCCGGAATGGGCCAAAAAGATGGATGCATTCGCTTTTCTTTTATTGTTTTAGGAGCTTTATATTCAGCTTTAAGTAGCTTATCATTTAAAATTTCATTTTTAGCAAGAAGGTAACTAATATCTTCGCAGACAATATTACTCACATATTGTAGCAGTTGTTAACAAAATTCTTCATCATCTTTTAATTTTTGACGTAAAGAAATTGGATCAAGTGCTCCGTGAAGCCATATAAGTAAGTGACAATGAGGAGTTCCACGATCTTGATACTCGACAATGCCATAATAGTTTTTTATTATCCCAAACACACCTCCATTTATTTTGCCATAGCCGATGACTATATTAAGAATATTATTAATAATCACATCAAAATATTTTGCAACTGCTGAAGGATCGAGATGTGCTAGTTGAGCTCGTTCTGAAGCTTTTAGAAAATTATCTGGTAGAAGTTCATTAAAATTAATTTCTTTCCCAGCGTACATCATAACTATAGGACTATGAAGGTCTACAGGATTTATTGTAACAAATAGCGAAGGCATACCATCTCTAATTGTAATGGCAAATATTTCATTACGCATGCGAACACGTGATTGATGAGAGGCCATTAATTTAGACCCAGCAATATTAATATTTTTAAGCAATTCAATAATTGCATGGTTGGTTATTGATTGCTTATTCTGTTCTTGCTCAATAGCTATTTTTATATCATCTAATTTGATTGATGAAATCAGTTTAGCAAAGTGTTCAAAGCTTTCACTTTTAGTTAAATTATATAATTCGGATGAAACTTCTTGTTGTTGCAAATGTCAAACGCAACAAAGGGAAATGATCTATGCTGTCGAAATTTAGGATCATTATGACGCATAAAATGGTTAAGATATTGTTTTAGAGACAGATATTGTGATCGACCTTCATGACCTCCGACGCCATATGGGTAAAGAACAGAAAAACCTGCTGAAAATAAATTTATATTTTCATATTTATTAAACGGTTTATTACCATGAGGCACATAAATAATTTGTGGTCTATGTGATTCGTTTTTACTAAAATCATTGTACGAATCATTAGAAAAATTGTGGTTATTAGACCGGTATTTTAATTCTTTTACAAGTTTTTGAAATGAAAGTAAAGTAAGTTTTTTATTAGAAACCGGTACATCATTAACGTGCATCATGCCAGAAGATCTTAATTCATATGTATCGCCAGCCGAATTATTTTTACAAAGAACATATTCATTTTCACTATCTGTTTCATCATATTCATCTAACGGATCTTTGGTGTACCCAGTATAATGTTCTACCTCTCTATAATCAAGATCTACAACTGTAGTCGTTGATGTTAAAGCTTCAGGAATCTCCCCTTCAGGCAAACTTTCTAAAACACTTTTATCAAGTTTAAAGTCCTTAAATAAAATATTATGTTCAAAAAGCCATCGAAGAGCAGCAGAAACTTTACTTTTCCGAATTTGTAATATTTTCTTAAGTTGACGATCAGTAGGAATTTCTCCAATAAATACTACCTTCAGATATTCACAGAGCCGATACATTGATAAAGATAATATTTTTACCAAAGAGCTAGGATCTTGAGGTAACGTTACAATATGTCCTTTAAGTTTATGATGCGAATGTCTTCTATTTGATATCTGAATAAGGTTCATGCATTGATATCCAGGTGAAATGATAAGCTGTTCTGGAATAGTTAGATCATGAAGGCACGGTGGCGTAGGACTGACCCACATATTGTTTGCTAAGGATAATGGTGGAGTTTTATGGGTTTGTAGATATCTATGACAGGTCTTACAAACTCGAAGGTTAAATGGGCTAGGATTATTTGGCAATTCCGAGGAATATACAAATCCAGCTCGATCAAGTAAAATTTTAAATCCAACAGAATCGATATACGGATGGTTATAATAAAAATTTATTTCAAATAATGGTTCAGTAAGGTGAGCTGGAGCTGCAATTAAAGAAAGATCTATATCTTCTATAGCAATTTCTTTATAATTATTTTTAACATTGAGTTCAGAACAGATAGCACATGGTAATTCTCTTAAATTATTTAGATCGACTTTATCACGAAATTCTGCCAACCTATCTTTTGATACTTCAGGATCGATTGGTTGTGGCCATGTAGCATAATCTTTAGCTGCTTTATCAAAATCTTCATTCATTTCTAACACACGTAGAGGGATATTAGCGATTTCTGCTTTTTGATCTTTTTCAAGACGAGCAATAACTTTTCTTCGTTTTTTCCGATTAAGCATAACAACATTAGATGCCTGAACATATATTTGATTTTGACGAAGCTCCATCATACGGTAGTGCGATTTACTATTCTCAGCTTTCTTAAATTGCGGATTTGCACGCTGAATTGATTTTCGCTTGCGATCTTTCTCTTTTTTAATTTCACCTTTTGTTTTAATAATGCCATAATGTATATCATGCTAAAACACATCAAATTAGGCTTCTTTATATACGCATATTTTTTAAAGACGCATCGCTACGTTACTGATACCAGTCTTACAGATTACACGTAACATACATAACGATAGACACGAATACCGACCGGGCAATTTCAAACTATCAGATAAGTTTATTTAAAAAAATTTTTTTCTCCTTATTAATTATTAACATGTAGTCTACCTACTTCCTGATCTAATTGACAACCTATGCGTTATCATAAATAATATAACATAATGACGCGATATAAACAGTAAAAATAATATTATTAATACTTTTAACGTTATTTTGCACCGTCATCTAGTAAATTAAATGAAAACGTTTATTGCTTTATTATCATCGATTGAATTAAAATGGCGTAATAAACTTTTTGCTATGTCGATGTAAATACGTACGTATAATACACGTTAATGCAAACGCAATCAATTAGAAACGTCAATCAAATGATTGCGCCAAACGTGACATGATTATATATTGAATACGTACGTATGACAAACTTTTTCATAGCACCAATTATTAAATACGATTTTGGTACACCAACGGCTAAGCAAATAAAATTTGCTACATTTAGCCACATGGTAGCGGTTTTCTCAATTAAATACGAATCTGAAATTATCCGAATTTACATATTTAGAGATCACAGCCAATCGTGGCACCCAACTAAATGCAAGAGTTTGTGGACGAACATCCTTGAACATTTTGGTAAACCATGCTCTCCGTTTTCACTTACGGAAAACTCCGTTCCTGGTATATATAAATCTTTTAAAAAAATGTCAAATAAAATTGATTTTGAAAATGGTTCTATAGTTTTATTTGTAGAGATGAATTTAATTTTAAAAAATACACAATTATTAATTCGTAAATTATAAAACTTTTAATAAATTTTATTATTTAATCACGCATAAATTTTGATCTACATAATGCGCAATGACGCCAAAAGTTGTGTTAATCTGATTTCCATTATAAATAACAATGAATTTCAACCGGAGTTTATAATCCATAACTCCATATACCGTTTATAATCCATAACTCCATATACAAATTATACAAATTGTTAAATTCGTTGGGTTTTCTACAAGCAAATATCGCGTTCGAAAACTCGTAAACAATGACAAATATACCCGATATCGACTTTCTCAATGCGGCATTCTCGGCTATAATGAATGGCCAAATTTTTATATCAGAAAAGGAATTTCAAGAAAGACAAGCTCGTAATGAAAATGATGGTTTCACTTATAAACGAGTTGATGTGCATTCATTTCATCAGTCTAATCTTGTTGGTAGTAATGCGAATGCCTTTCCGGAGGAAAATCATCAATCTCCTTCGTTTTTGAGATCTTTTGATCCCGGACAAATGTTTATACAAACTATAGATGGTAAAACTGTCACAATTGATTGTATATTAAATGATACCATCAGAGAAATGAAAAAGAAAATTCAAGAAGCAGAAGGCATTCGGCCAGAACACCAAAATCTTATCTTTAATGGCATTCAATTAGAAGATGGAAATAGGCTCTGTGACTATTATGGTATGAGATATGAGTCGGTGTTACACTTAGTTCTTCATGATCGTGATATAATTAGTTACTTTAGCTCGGATTCTTTGGACCCACAATACAATTATGATTTTACGAATGTTTGTGATAATGGAGCGACACACTTACGTGGAGGTATTCTATATAAAAGACCTTGTGGATGGAGACGTTTTGCTTTAAAAGTTCTTAATAGATATGATAATGGTGACAATAGATGGCTTGGTACCGATAATGCGGCCTGGCCAGTGTCTTATCATGGAGCTAGTAAGTATAACGAAAAGTCAATTGCTGATGATGGATTTTTATCGAGCAAGGGAAAACAATTTGATTTTCGACATGGTATTTATTCAACTCCTGATGTGGATTTGGCTGAAAAGTATGCTCAAGAATTTGATTATGAGGGTGTGAAATATGTGACGATAATTCAGAATCGTGTGAATCCTGCGAATTTGCAAAAAATTCAGAATCAAACGGGGGCTGGTGAATATTGGGTTTCTATGGAGGGTGATGATGTTAGACCATATGGTATTTGTATTAAAAAAAAGTTAACGTAAAAATGTTGTAATTTTTCAAATTTGTTGCCCTTATCATTTATATGCTTTTAAAAAAATCGATAGGAAATTAGGCCAGTTATCTCTATCATTTAATTTTGAGTTTGTGCGTTTTAACGTTTTTGATTGGACGTAGCTGAGAAGCGTGACCCGAGCGTGAGAATTCTGAGTTTATGTGATTTAACGTTTTTGATTGGACGTAGCTGAGAAGCGTGACCTGAGCGTGAGAATTCTGAGTGAACTAATTTAATTTTGGCACTTTAACGTTTTTGATTGGCCATATCCAAAAACTGTGATCAGAGTATAGGAATTTTGGGTCTGTGCATTTTGATCTATATGATTTAAGCGAGAAAAGCTGTGTATTTTAACGGTTTGATCGGTCGTTACAAGTTATGCGATCTGCAAAATCTCTGTCAGAATAATTCGGTAATTATGATTGATTGGTCATTACGAGATACGATATTCAGGTGATTTAATAAATTGGGTTATCGCTATGCAATTATGACATAATTACTGAATTATTAAGCTATAATGTGCGACTGAGAAATTTAAGCAAAAAGCTGTGTATTTTAACGTTTTTGATTGGTCGTTGCAAGTTACGATATTCAGGTGATTTGATAAATTGGGTTATTGATATGCAATTATGACATAAATGGCTGAGGTGTATATGAACATATATAAATTTTTTTCATA